ATGAATTTGAGGTCATACCGCCCAGCCCTACATCGTGCTGAAATCTGATATAGTAGCTGAGAGTCATCCCTAATGCAAACTCTGAGTTCTTACAGATTATGCAAAATTCTTGTACAAAAAAATAATAATAAAAAGGTGAATGATGATATGTATTTCTTCAAATAATGCAACTTTTATTCATGTTTCCTTGAAAGTTGGAATAATTTTTCCTACGTTTTAGCATACTTGCTGTGAAGAAACCAGAAGATAAAGCTTGACTGCTTTAAAACACTTCTGACTTGTCCCAGCTGGAGCTACGTCGAACCTGTCACTCATTTTAGAAGTGACTGAGCCGGGACATTAGTATCTCTGTAATTCCATAACAATCTGTTGGTTAAATATTTCTACAATATCTGGAGTGATTCTACTTATATTCTGAAATGTAACTACTGTGAAACAAACAGATTGTTGCATCTTTGGTTTAATTTTGGCTAATTTCACTGATTTCCATTTGTTTTCTAAAAGCAGTCAATAATATTCAGCATTACTAAATTATTGATAATGGTAACACAGAACCCACCACCCAATATACCTCTCTTGCATCTACAGGTGAAAAGCGCTCTTCATATGCCTCTCTGATGGAGCTTCGATCATGATGATATGCCACTATTAACACAGAAGAGAACAAGTTATTTGGCTTATAAGAGTTTACAGTTCAAAACAAATGTTTAATTGTGTATAATGAAAAAAATCATCAATTAAAAAGGAACAAGAATTTGTAAATATCCTCAGTGGAATAAATGATTCAAAAGACCACTGGTATATTATTTGTTAAAATATTGATCAGGAATATTTCAAATTATACATTTTGTTCAACCGGTGTCATCTTTACACCCTGTTCAGCAGGTAAATGTTGATTTCTTTAGACACACAGACAGGACAAAAACTGGACACAGGATATAACTTGACTACTAAATCCTGACACTTTCACACGGTTCCTGGCAGAAGGAAAAAAAAAAAAAACACACGAGTAAAAATGGAAAAGGAGATGATAAGACAGGAGATACCTCAGCTGTTATTTCTGTGTCTGCATGGAAGATAGGGCTGTGTATTGGCAAGAATTTGGCGATACGATACATATCATGACAGAGGGGTCACGATACGGTATATCCCGATATAATGCAATACTATAAGCAAGGCGATATATCGCAATATATTGCGATTTTTTGTCCAAAAATTCTATTAAAGAAAAAC